GACGTAGGGAAGTCAAATTTTGCCCATACCCATTTACCCACGCAGCCCGCCCATCAATTGGCCCGCCCAAAACCCACACAATAAGTTAAATGGGTCTAATCGGGCGGGTTCATTTCAAACTATTCTAAATGGATAGTAAATGGGCAGTCTATATTCACTCATTTGCCCACCCGATCCCCAAAACCAAAATTTGAACCCCTAAAGCAGCAGCAGCCAAGGTCATCGTCTCGCCTCCCGATGGCCGATCCCGAGAACTCATCGTCGTCTCCAACCTCAGCCGGGTTCAGCACCGACCGCCTCCCTCCGACGACCAACTCCTACAACTCTGATCCCAACGTCATCCCCTACGACGACGTTGTACCCGACGGCGACGAGGAGGAGGAGGAAGGGGAGGATCTCTACAATGATAACTTCATGGAGCTAGTCCCTTCAAATTCACTAATTTCTTCCTATTTTGTTTAGATCTATAACTAGGTGATGTCGTCAGTCAATTCAAAAGCCCTAACTTTTGTTTCGGTTTTGTATAGTGATTATCGGAGATTGGATGAGCAAGATCAGTATGAGCCCGTAGGACTGGACGATTCGATGGAGGATGAGAGGGATCTCGATCAGATCATTGCGGATCGAAGGGCGGCCGAGGTTGAATTGGATCAAACCGAGATCAATTGGGACAAGTAAGACAGCCATACTCCTTTTGACCTAATCCTGTCTTGCTTAATCAATTACTACGATACATTTATTTATTTGAAAAAAAAGTAGGGCTTTTTTGGTCCTAAGTTATGAATTTGAACCGGGGGTTTAGAAGGGGCAAGATGTTAAAACGACGAGAATCTAACCAATTTTCGAGAAAGCTGATATTTTTGGTGAAATATTAGTATGCCAGTTTTTTTGGTAGCTACAAAAAATGTGATGCTAAATGGTGCGATGAATACTTTTTATTGTTGGAGATCAGTTTAGTGAAATTTGGCAGTGTTGCAGGCTCATTAGAGTTTGAAAATTATAGAAGATTGAGAAGAGAAGAAAGAGAGGGAGGGGATTGCTTGGCCTCATTGAGTAACAAAAATTGATGATGCTACAGTTGGGTGAAGATATTATTGTTCAAAAATCTCACACCAGATACTTGTGTTACAATAGTGTAGGTTAAGCACTAAAATTGATCAAAGTTAGCCCACATATTCCCATTAAAGTTTCACATATGATGAATGAACTTCTACCATCTACTACTATACCTCTTCGTTATTCAGTGACCCTTTTATCTTGGTTGGATTTAACCAGTTATCATGCGTTTCTCCATCACATTCCACTTCTTTGTGAAGAGTGCCTTCAAGATAATAGATCATTACTTGTCCTCTGAATTTATTGTCAATAAACTGAACAAGCCCATAGACATGAAATAGGTGACTTTGGCTATAACTTTTCGATCCAAATGGTTCAATTGTCAAACATAACAGTCGAGGGTGTGTTATACATCCTTCATCTCTTTCTGTTTCCTGCATCCATGATGAACATAAATGTAAGAGTGGGAAAGTATTATGAACGTCAATCTTAGCATAATCGATATAATTCTATTTGTCTATCTCGTCCTACCAATTTACCTTATTCCAGTTTCAGCATCATCAAGGTCATCATTTGAAAATCTATGGAAATAGAGCAATTACAAAGAGCTCTTTTATTTCAACCAGTATCCCAAGCTATGAATAGACAATAGAAGCAATTTACTTGCTGTAATTCCCACAAATTTCCTTATGACACAAGAGAACAAGCTAACCATGTCAAACAACACATTGTCACAGACATGCTATAAAGAATTTAGCTCTGGAGTTGGTCACAGTTCAGAGATCTGCGTCATCCCTTTGTAATCTGTTCTGATTCTTTCAACATAAAATTCAAATACGTCATGCTATGGTTCTTGCTAGGTTCAACATAATATTTAAGAATTTTTTGTAAGCCTACTATATATGGTCTATGTGCAATCTACCCTTTTTTTTTGTTATAACATCTCAGTTAGTGAAAGATAGGTCTTGTTTTCTAGTATATTTATTAATATCTCATTTATTGAATAGTTTGATGACATTCCTTTTGACACTTCATATGAGTATATGAGTGATAATCATATGTGATGGAATATCTAAGGATGTGTACTACAAGCGACACTTCTTGCAACATTCATTTACAATTTCCATGTTAGATTTAACAGGAATTGAGGCTAGAGGTTTTATTTTTGGCCCTCCGATTGCACTAGCAATTGGTGCAAAGTTTCCAGACTAATATCTGCTGCTAGGATGAACATATTATGTTAGTTCGACCAATAAAAATAATTATCCCTTATGTATTTTGCTTCTGGTTACTTGTGGAAGAACTGGAACTCTAGGATGAACATATTACTGCTAGGATTAACATAATTGAACTGGTTGTTTGCTTGTTTCTTTCATGGTGCATGAGGTGTTACAATCAAGAAAACTAATCTTGCTTTAATCTTCGGCATTTATGATGAGCCAATGACTCTTGGGCAGTACAATATGATTGTTGAGAGGCTTGGTGATTATCTCAATGAACAGGGATTTTAGGTTTGTTGTGTTTCCTTTTTCTATTCGAGTTTGGTGTGGTCCCTCGCATTGCAATGCTTGAAATAAATAATTGTCAGTTCAATAATTATGTGGACTCTCGTGAGGGGTTTGATGTTTGGTTAATGTGTTTGTTATGATCCCTATCCCATCAAAATTATGTCTGTATTTTTCCTTTGATTGGGGTTATTGTGGCATTTTAAGACGAGTTGTGATGCTTATTCATAAGATAGGTTTGCACGTTCGAAAAAGTTGTGCGTTATTTGAATTTCTTTTTGATGTGGCATAAGTGGCTTCTTGTGGTTTGCACGTTCGAAAAAGTTGTGCGTTATTTGAATTTCTTTTTGATGTGGCATAAGTGGCTTCTTGTGGCATTGGTTATCGCAATAAATAATGTATATCATTTTACAGGTGATGTATTCTTTGAGTTCTTTGCGCTTGGCATAGTAAAAAGAAAAAAAAACATGATTGGTAATTTTAATGCTATCTTGTTCAATATGTTCATGCTATTCTTAAATGAGTTATGTACATGCATGTGCATATTTTGATAATTCAAAAAGTTTACAAAAAGCCCCCTAAATTTTACAAAAAGGCCCCAATAGTTTACAAAAAACCCTAAAAGTTTACAAAAAACACCCTAAAAGTATTATACATATATAGGTATTATAGTTAAATGGGCAAATGAGCGGCCCGTTTATTAAATGGGCGGGTAAAAACCCGCTCATTTAGAAAATGTTAAATGGGTCATAAATAGGTAAATGGACAAAACATGCCCGCCCATTTAATACCCAAACCCACCCATTTAACATCCCTACCCCCAATACGGGCAGTTCAAAATCTGTCGATCTTCTTATAGTCCTGAGAGGGCTGGGGAGAGGTATCACCATACAATTTTCTTGTTTTAGACAGAATGAGAGGATGAATTTGTCAGAACGCCTGTTGAGATGCTCAAAGATCTTGAAATAGATGGTGCTCACCTGTGGATATTGGCCCGAAGAAATATGGATCGGGTGTGGAGGGCGATCATTCCAGGCTCTCCAACAAGAGCCCACTCCAAGGGTAAAGACCTCTAATCCTGAGATAATAGGTTTGCACTAGAATATTGTACAATGGGTAGAAAAATTGCATGACTTTGTAGATGTTGCTACATGGAACATAGCCAAATCCGAGCCCTTGTGCTTGTCTCCAAGCAAGGGTGTGATTTCTCTCCTGCACGGGTTGCACACGTGTGATTCGATTTCCCAAAATTACAAGGGGAGCTGAAATTTTCGAACTTTGTCGGGGTTAACCGAAGGCACAGACTTTGTGAAATTTTACCGATAAAGTACTGATACACAATAAAACAAATACTGATCATATCATGATATATCACTTCTCACATAATAATACTAGATCTGCTACGCACATCAACATTGCCTATCCTCTCCTCCCCAAAAGCTCCCAAACCAAAACAAGCCTTGGCCTAGCAACTCCTCCCACACCTTCTCATCCTCTATCCTAAAACTTGTCTCAACAACACAACTCCTTCCTTCAAGAACAACGACACATTCTCCTTCAACCTCTCCTTTTTCCATTTTCCTTCGACGTTTTTTCTCCAAAATAATTCCCTTCATCTTCTTTATTAATTTCTTTGGTAACCGGAACACAACAAACACTGTAATTTGCACGAGCATGCACGGGCAACAACAGCATATAACGGTGCAATCTCCAATGAGCAAGCCACATTCTTCATCAATTTTAGGCATTGATGAAGAGAGGAGATAATAGGCGGGATTTTAATGAGAGGAATTGGTTAATAAATGGAATGGTGGTAGAGTGCAAGGGATGTGCATTGGTATGTTAGGCTTCTTGCTTAAGTAACTTGCACAAGAGTATATAGAGAATCTTTTCTGGTATTGCTTTAGCTGAAGCTTCAAGCCAAAACACACCATAGCTTGATTAGAGATGAATCAATTATACAGCTCATTGCAATCATTCAAGTATGTAGACGGAGAAGGCTCCATTTTAATAACTGCTTTTGTGACAACTTGATCCTTGGAATTTGACAATCTCCATGCTCGTCAAAGTCCATTACATTATGCATTTATTAGCTTAACGGTAGTAGGCTGTTGACATAGTTAAAGAATGCATCTGCATATCCTTTGATGTTGGCAATCACTTGTGTTGGGCGCAGAGTCACGCCCACCGCCGCGGAAGCGATATCGCCTGAGAGAGAGCCCTGGCTTTTGTTGTCCCAAAAGCACAAGTCAACCTCTGTATTCTTGTTTCTCAAAGGAAACGCGAATAGATAATGAAATTCTTATTTCTCAAAGGAAACAAGAATTGAAAGTGATATATCTCATCAAAGTGAAATATACACTCTTCCTCTCATCAGCTCTAAGACCGAATTTTGAGGGAACCTACAAGCAATAGCCAACAACCCAGAAAACAGTAAATACACGAGATTTACGTGGTTCGGCAAACTTGCCTACGTCCACGGGAGGGGTGAGGGGAGATTCCACTATAAGGAGAACACCGACGACTTGTACAATCCACAAGCTCGTCTCAAAGAAAAATAGATCTGATTTTTACCCAAAAGAAATAAACCTCTCTCTTGTAAAACCCTATTTTCACTCTCCTCAAGATCTCTCTTTTTCTCTCTAAAGCCGACTTTGATTTCCGCAGCTTTTTCCCCCAAGCCGAGTAAACTCCTGCAGAATTTTTCCTCTGGCCGACTAAAGAGTTTTCCCCCTGCTGCAGCCGACTCAAATTTCACCCACAACGCGGAACCCTAGATGATGTGTGTATTTATAAGAAACGAACATGCTGTACCCACCCGCAAGCACAGGCCCACGAAGCTAAGCTCAGGCCCACGTGCCCACGTGGGTAGCATCCACTCACAATTCTCCACCTCGTACATCATTTGATAAACCTCAAATTTTGGACGAACACCAGAAGAACACCACGAACATCACTAGAGAGATCACCATCGGCCAAACCAGGCCAAACCAGCTGCGTCACTTTACCGCGACTACCTACGTACCCTCCACCGGGATCAAGCTAACCGTAGTTCAGAATTTGTTCTCCATAGTCTCCACCTCACCCCATCACCGCCCCGAAGGGCCATGCCCTCTTGGGCAAATCAACAAGGGCTGATATGAAGCAAGTCCAAGCAATGCTTAAACTTGCTACCTGTGACCACCTTGGTCAACATGTCTGCTGGATTCTCATTCGTGTGCACCTTCATGAGAGAAATATCACCTTCCTCTATGACGTCCCGCACGAAATGATACCTGACATCGATATGCTTGGTACGAGCATGATGAACTTGATTCTTCGCCAAATGAATCGCACTTTGACTATCACACCACAAGTTCACGTTCTCCTGCTCAATCCCCAAATCGTCTAGAAGACCCCACAACCACAATGCTTCCTTCACTCCCTCCGCCATGGCCATGTACTCGGCCTCTGTAGTAGAAAGTGCCACTGTAGCCTGCAACATCGATCGCCAACTAACTGGAGCTCCATGTATCCTGAATACATAACCAGTAGTAGATCGCCGTCTATCTAGATCGCCCGCATAATCAGAGTCAACAAACCCGTCAATCTGACATGTATCTCCACCAAAACACAGACCCGTATCCGCGGTACCTTTCAAGTACCTCAGGACCCACTTCACCGCTTCCCAGTGCGCCTTTCCCGGATTCGCCATGAATCTACTGACAACACTAACTGCCTGTGAAATATCAGGGCGTGTACACACCATTGCGTACATCAGACTGCCAACTGCACTAGCATAGGGAACACGATCCATGTGTACCTTATCTTCCGCTGTAGTGGGAGATTGTTTACCTGAGAGCCTGAAGTGTGGAGCCAATGGAGTCGCCACCGACTTTGCACTTTGCATCCCGAACCTTACGATCACCCGCTCTATATAGCCCTTCTGACTCAAGAACAATCGCTGATTCGCCCGCTCTCTTCTAATCTCCATACCCAATATTTTTCTAGCAGCGCCCATGTCCTTCATCTCGAACTCTTTACCAAGTTGAGATTTTAACCTATCTATCTCCACCCCGCTCTTAGAAGCAATAAGCATGTCATCCACATACAAAAGGAGATAAATATAATCACCTCCACGAAGCTTCCGAATGTAAACACAGCAATCGTAATCACTTCGGGAAAATCCATGCTTCAGCATGAAGGAGTCAAATCGCTTGTACCACTGCCGAGGAGATTGCTTCAGTCCATAGAGTGACTTCCTCAAGCGACATACATGATGCTCCTTATCCTCAACCTTATAACCCTCGGGTTGATGCATGTAGATCTCTTCATCCAAGTCTCCGTGCAAGAAGGCCGTTTTGACATCGAGTTGTTCCAGCTCAAGATCACCATGAGCAACAATACTCAATAGCACCCGAATAGAAGTGTGTTTCACCACCGGAGAAAATATCTCATTGTAATCCACACCCTCTCTTTGTGCAAACCCTTTAGCCACTGGCCTCGCCTTGTACCTTGTACCACCAAGCTCTGAAGGATCTTCCTTTCTTTTATACAGCCACTTACAACCTATAGCTTTCTTTCCTACGGGCAATGGGACCACCTCCCATGTTTGGTTCTTCCGAAGAGATTCCATCTCCTCCTCCATCGCAGCCAACCAACTCTCACTATCTTTATCCCGAATAGCTTCCTTGAAGGAGACCGGCTCATCTTCCTCCACCGAAAGTGCGTATTCAACCAAATTAACATGCCCATAGTGCTTCAGGGGTTGATCAGCCCCCAGCTTCTGTACCTGCTTGTATGCTCGCTTTGGCCTAGTGGAAGCCAAAGTATCCTCGAGCTGCTGTTGTTGTAGTGCCTGTGTATTCTCCTCCTCCTCCTGCTCAAGCTCATCATCTACCTGATTTCCCACTTGAACATGACTAGAACCTGGTTGGTCTTTAGGTTCTATCTCAATAACCTGGGACTTTGAAGTCCCAACAGTCCCAACACCATCATCCTTGGGCGCCTTAGCAATCATGGATTTTTCATCAAAGGTAACGTCCCTGCTTATCACGAACTTCGAATCTTCTGTACACCAAAGGCGGTAGCCTTTTACGCCCTTCGCATACCCTAAGAATATCGCCTTCTTAGCCCTCGCGTCAAGCTTTCCCTCGTTGACGTGATAATAGGCGGTACATCCGAAAATTCTGAGCCTCTCATAATCTGCATGTTCCCCTGACCACACCCTATAGGGTGTATCACCATCTAGTGTCGAATGTGGAGAACGGTTCACAATGTAACATGCTGTAGCCACCGCTTCTGCCCACCATTCGTTGCCCAATCCAGCATAAGATCGCATACTCATTGCCTTCTCCCGCAATGTTCGGTTCAGTCTCTCCGCGACCCCGTTCTGCTGTGGTGTTGACCTGACTGTCCAGTGTCGAACAATGCCCTCCTGATCACAGAACTTCTTGAAAGCACCATCTGTATACTCTGTACCGTTGTCAGATCTTAGTGTCTTCAATTTCTTGCCCGTCCTGTTCTCAACCATTGCTTTCCACTTCTTGAATGTCTCGAATACCTCATTCTTATGCTTAAGAAAATAAATCCAAGCATATCTCGAATGATCGTCTATGAACGAGACAAAATACCTGGAACCACCTTTGGAAGTTGTCTGAGCCGGACCCCAAACATCCGTGTGCACATAATCTAGTATACCTCTGCTCTTGTGATTGCTTTTCAAGAATTGGACCCTGTGCGCCTTTCCGTACACACAATCCTCACAAAAATCCATGCAAGGTTTCTTCAGATTCTTCAGCAAACCCTCCTTACCAAGCAGAACCAGACCCTTCTCTGACATGTGCCCAAGCCGCCTATGCCATAACCGGGTGTGCTCACATGGGTCTCCACCACTTCCATCAGTTCCAACCGCTGCATCTCCTGTCACCGTCGTACCCGAGAGAGTATATAGATTACCGTGACGAACACCCTTCATCACTGTTAGGGAACCTCGAACAACCTTCTTTACTCCGTTCTCTGTAACAATCTTGCAGCCACCGGAGTCTAATGCACCCACTGAGATAAGATTCTTCCGCAAATCAGGAACGTGCTGTACGTCCGTTAGGGTTCTGACCACTCCATCATGCATCTTGATTTTTATATCACCGAGCCCCACCGTTTTACAAGCATGGTTATTCCCCAGCAATACAGTTCCACCATCAATGCTCCTATAGGTAGTAAACCACTTCCTATTTGGGCACATGTGGTAAGAGCAACCTGAATCAAGTATCCACTTACCGGAGGTATCTTCGCCACCCGTAACAACATAGCATTCTTTATCGCTCCCTTCCTCCGATGCGTAACTCGCCTCTTCCTTGCCTTCTCTTCTCTCGGTCTTGTTGTTGTTCTTTTTCCCACCTACTCTCTTGTTAGGACAGTCAACCTTGAAATGCCCAACTTCACCGCATTTGAAGCACGCTCGTCCCGCAAGGGGTCTCGATTTAGATCTAGACTTTCCTCCCTTGCCTTTTCCTCGCTCATTGCTCCTTCCTCTAGCAAACAATCCCTGCGCTTGTTCTTTGTTACCACCAGTAGTCATGTCACCGGTTGCAATCTTTCGAAGGTCATCCCCTAGAAGCGCCGTTCTAGTCTCATCCATCGTCAAATTGTCTCCCACAAGCATCAATGTTTGCACCAGGTTCTCATAAGACTTCGGCAGAGATAGAAGTAATAGAAGAGCCTGATCCTCATCTTCTACAGTCACATCGATGTCCTTCAGATCCGATAT